TGTGTTTGTCTGTATGTTAGGCTGTGTTTGTCTGTATGTGTGGCTGTGTTTGTCTGTATATGTTGTTGGGCTGTGTTTGTCTGTATGTTAGGCTGTGTTTGTCTGTATGTTAGGCTGTGTTTGTCTGTATGTTAGGCTGTGTTTGTCTGTATGTGGCTGTGTTTGTCTGTATGTGGAGGCTGTGTTTGTCTGTATGTTGGGCTGTGTTTGTCTGTATGTTGGGCTGTGTTTGTCTGTATGTTGGGCTGTGTTTGTCTGTATGTTAGGCTGTGTTTGTTGTCTGTATGTTAGGCTGTGTTTGTCTGTATGTTAGGCTGTGTTTGTCTGTATGTGTGGCTGTGTGTGTTTATCTGTATGTTGGGCTGTGTTTGTCTGTATGTGTGGCTGTGTTTGTCTGTATGTGTGGCTGTGTTTGTCTGTATGTTAGGTTGTGTTTGTCTGTATGTTAGGCTGTGTTTGTCTGTATGTTAGGCTGTGTTTGTCTGTATGTTAGGCTGTGTTTGTCTGTATGTTAGGCTGTGTTTTGTCTGTATGTTAGGCTGTGTGTTTGTCTATGCTCATTAGGCTGTGTTTGTCTGTATGTTAGGCTGTTTTTGTCTGTATGTTGGAGCTGTGTTTGTCTGTATGTGGCTGTGTGTTTGTCTGTATATGGCTGTGTTTGTCTGTATATTAGGCTGTGTTTGTCTGTATGTTAGGCTGTGTTTGTCTGTATGTGTGGCTGTGTTTGTCTGTATGTTTGTCTGTATGTTAGGCTGTGTTTGTCTGTATGTGTGGCTGTGTTTGTCTGTATGTTAGGCTGTGTTTGTCTGTATGTGTGGCTGTGTTTGTCTGCTGTGTTAGGCTGTGTTTGTCTGTATGTTAGGCTGTGTTTGTCTATGTGTGGCTGTGTTTGTCTGTATGTGTGGCTGTGTTTGTCTGTATGTTAGGCTGTTTGTCTGTATGTTTAGGCTGTGTTTGTCCTGTATGTTGGGTTGTGTTTGTCTGTATGTGGCTGTGTGTTTGTCTGTATGTTAGGCTGTGTTTGTCTGTATGTTAGGCTGTGTTTGTCTGCTTATGTTAGGCTGTTTGTCTGTATGTTAGGCTGTGTTTGTCTGTATGTGTGGCTGTGTTTGCATCTGTATGTGTGGCTGTGTTTGTCTGTATGTGTGGCTGTGTTTGTCTGTATGTTAGGCTGTGTTTGTCTGTGTGATATGGGCTGTGTTTGTCTGTATGTTAGGCTGTGTTTGTCTATATGTTAGGCTGTGTTTGTCTGTATATTAGGCTGTGTTTGTCTGTATGTTAGGCTGTGTTTGTCTGTATGTGGCTGTGTGTTTGTCTGTATGTTAGGCTGTGTTTGTCTGTATGTTAGGCTGTGTTTGTCTGTATGTGGGCTGTGTTTGTCTGTATGTTAGGCTGTGTTTGTCTGTATGTTAGGCTGTGTTTGTCTGTATGTTAGGCTGTGTTTGTCTGTATGTTAGGCTGTGTTTGTCTGTATGTTAGGCTGTGTTTGTCTGCTTATGTTGGGCTGTGTTTGTCTGTATGTTAGGCTGTGTTTGTCTGTATATTAGGCTGTGTTTGTCTGTATGTTAGGCTGTGTTTGTTGTCTGTATGTTAGGCTGTGTTTGTGTCTGTATGTTAGGCTGTGTTTGTCTGTATCAGCTAGGCTGTGTTTGTCTGTATGTGTGGCTGTGTTTGTCTGTATGTTAGGCTGTGTTTGTCTGTATGTTAGGCTGTGTTTGTCTGTATGTGTGGCTGTGTTTGTCTGTATATGTTGGTTGTGTTTGTCTGTATGTTGTTTGTGTTTGTCTATGTTAGGCTGTATTTGTCTGTATGTTAGGCTGTGTTTGTCTGTATATTGAAGCTGTGTTTGTCTGTATGTTAGGCTGTGTTTGTCTGTATGTGTGGCTGTGTTTGTCTGTATGTGGGCTATGTTTGTCTGTATGTTAGGCTGTGTTTGTCTGTATATGTTAGGTTGTGTTTGTCTGTATGTTAGGCTGTGTTTGTCTGTATGTTAGGCTATGTGTTTGTCTGTATGTTAGAGCTGTGTTTGTCTGTATGTGTGGCTGTGTTTGTCTGTATATTGGGCATGTTTGTCATATGTTAGGCTGTGTTTGTCTGTATATTAGGCTGTGTTTGTCTGTATGTTAGGCTGTGTTTGTCTATGTATGTGTGGCTGTGTTTGTCTGTATGTTAGGCTGTGTTTGTCTGTATGTGTGGCTGTGTTTGTCTGTATGTGTGGCTGTGTTTGTCTGTATGTTGGGGCTGTGTTTGTCTGTATGTTTAGGCTGTGTTGTCTGTATGTTAGGCTGTGTTTGTCTGTCATTGACAGGCTGTGTTTGTCTGTATCATTGGGCTGTGTTTTGTGTGTATATGTTAGGCTGTGTTTGTCTGTATGTTAGGCACAATACGGCGTATGTATGTTAGGCTGTGTTTGTCTGTATATTGTTTGTGTTTGTCTGTATGTAAGGCTGTGTTTGTCTGTATGTGTGGCTGTGTTTGTCTGTATGTGGCTGTGTTTGTCTGTATGTTAGGCTGTGTTTGTCTGTATGTTAGGCTGTGTTTGTGTGTATGTTAGGCTGTGTTTGTCTGTGTCGTGGGCTGTTGTTTGTCTGTATGTAAAGGCTGTGTTTGTCTGTATGTGTGGCTGTGTTTGTCTGTATGTTAGGCTGTGTTTGTCTGTATGTTTGGGGCTGTGTTTGTCTGTATGTAAGGCTGTGTTTGTCTGTATGTGTGTGTGTTTGGCTCTGTATATAAAGGCTGTGTTTGTCTGTATGTGGCTGTGTTTGTCTGTATGTTAGGCTGTGTTTGTCTGTATGTTAGGCTGTGTTTGTCTGTATGTTAGGCTGTGTTTGTCTGTATGTTAGGCTGTGTTTGTCTGTATGTGTGGCTGTGTTTGTCTGTATGTTAGGCTGTGTGTTTGTATGTTAGGCTGTGTTTGTCTGTATGTTAGGCTGTGTTTGTCTGTATGTTAGGCTGTGTTTGTCTGTATGTTAGGCTGTGTTTGTCTGTATGTGTGGCTGTGTTTGTCTGTATGTTAGGCTGTGTGTTTGTATGTTAGTATGCCTGCTATCTGTACGCCATAAAACCTGAGATAAATATTCTGGTAGGGAATTACCACATTAATAGCCATGTTTCCAGTGACCTCAACAATGACCTTCTTTTTACGATCCTCTGTTGGTGACCAAAATATCTTGTTGGGAAAAAAACGAACTAGAATAAACCGAACGAAATATTATGTAAGAATGTATGGCGTACCTAAACCGTCTGCTGTATAAATGGTTGTGTTAGGATGTTAAAATCGTGGCGTGTGTGTGTGTGTGTCTCAACGGTACCATGGGTCGCTTACTCTCCCAGACGAAGCTGCGCCGGCGGCCAGCACAAGCGACGGGGCCTCACGCTTATCGTTACCTGAGGAAATCTGTTATCTAACACCACACAGACTCACAGAAATGGGGTGATTACGTGTGTGTGTGTGTGTGTGTGTGTGTGTGTGTGTGTGTGTACGATGGATTCAATGGTGGTCATAAAACCCATATTTAGAGATCACGTCCGCTATCAATGTCAAGGCAGGAGATATATGCACGTGTAGTCTTGCCGAGGCTGTCTTGAGGGCATGATGGATGTTTGTGGGTGGTGTGTAAATAGGGACAATGGCCAATTAAGATCAAACAAAAAACCAATTAGCGTTTCCTCCTTCACACACACACACACACACACACACACACACACACACACACACCAACGCTCTCTCCACCCTGGAAATGCCATCCCTCAGTGACCTCCACCACCAAGCACTGGAAAGGTTTGGCAGTGGACTACTGCACCACCCTCGCCATCGCCACCTCCTGCCCCCCCACCCACCTCGCGCAGTCCGCCACTACAACAAAATTCAGCCCATAAGAGCCCGCACCGATAGATATAAGAACAGCACCATCCCATCTATTGTTAAAATAATAAACAACTCCTGATTTGTATGCTGTACACACACACACACACACACAACAACAAAAACACGAAAACAAAATAATTAGAGTGTGTTTTATCCAGAAGTTGGCCACCACAATCCACCTCCTTCTCCTCACTTAATCCAGTAAATCGAGGCAGTCCGGAAAAAAAAAGTAGGGGTGGGGTGGGGTGGGGGGGGTAATCCGACAGTTAACCGGCTTAAAACTTTGATGGCAGAGTCTCACAAGCCGTCACTATCTCGCAACTTTACACGGCCGGCGACAGTAAGCTCCCTCCAAGACAAACTAATGAGTAGAGAGTGAGTTGTGATTGTAGGTAAGTGTAGTGGAAACATTGGTTAGGTTAGGAGAGAGAGAGAGAGACTCAAGAAAAACCTCTCATAATTATCTCTCAAACATCTTCATTATCTCCTTCTTTTATGTCGCTATCTATCCTTCACTCTTCCTTCATCTGTCTCCTTATTGTCTATCTATATTGTTCTTTCTCTTCTTATTCCTCCCCCTCTTCTTCTTCTTTCTTCTTAATCCTTCACCTCCTCCCACAAATAAACGGGAAGGACGTGGTACATCTCCACTCGTCGGGACCTCAGATTGAACAAATGGCATTCAGTTCAATGGCAAACTTATGCAAACGAGCGGCCCCACGATACCGTCTTCTCCGTGACCATGTGAGGTGTGGTGGTCGTGAGGAGGTCAGGAGATCGCACCGAGGGGGAGGTAGGGAGGTCAGAGGGAGGGTAGGGAGGTCATAACGAGGGGGAGGTAGGGGAGGGTCAGGGGAGGTAGGGAGGTCATAACAGAGGGAGGTAGGAGGTCATAACGGGGGAGGTAGGGAGATCAGAGGGGGTGGGGTAGGGAGATCGTAACGAGGGGGTCGGGAGATCGTAACATAACCATAACACTTACCGCAACTAGTAACACGGACATAACACTTACCGCAGCTAGTAACACGGACATAGCACTTACCGCAGCTAGTAACACAGACATAACACTTACCGCAGCTAGTAACACAGACATAACACTTACCGCAGCTAGTAACACAGACATAACACTTACCGCAGCTAGTTTCTAGAGTCACCCTGAAGAAACCCTCGCCACAGTCACCCTTATGCGGACACCCCAGGAGAGCGGCGCGGAGGGCGATGGTCTTACGCCAACGTTGAGGGTGAAGGCGGACAAATCGCGCCTTGAAGGGAGAGTTGAGGTAGTGTCGACGCTCCGTATGTTTGTCCAGGTTACCTCCGAACACCTGTAGGCAAGGTAACGTGTAGTTAATTAATTTTTATTGTTTCCACGTTAATTAAGTATACAGTGTTGGGCTAGTTAATTGGCTGTGTGGATGTTGGTCATTAGGGAGTGAAATAGTTGTAATGATGATAATACTACTACTACTACCACTACTACTACTACTACTAATAATAATAATAATAATAATAAGCCTTAACACTAAACATGGGCACATTCTCCTCAGCTTCGACATATATACTCAAAAGACATTACCTATCTCTGACAACAATGCCCTATAACAGCTCAAACTTACACACACAACGATCTCTCTCACACAACGATCCTCTCTCACAGAACGATCCTCTCCAACGATCCTCCCTCACACAACGATCTCTCTCACACAACGATCCTCTCTCACACAACGATCCTCTCTCACACAACGATCCTCTCTCTCCGATCCTCTCCTCGATCCTCTACACAACGATCCTCTCTCACACACGATCCTCTCCACAACGATCCTCTCTCTCACAATCCTCTCACACAACGATCCTCTCACAACGATCCTCTCTCACACAACGATCCTCTCCCTCACACAACGATCCTCTCTCACACAACGATCTCTCTCACACAACGATCCTCTCTCACACAACGATCCTCTCTCACACAACGATCCTCTCTCACACAACGATCCTCTCTCCACACAACGATCCTCTCTCACACAACGATCCTCTCTCACACAACGATCCTCTCTCACACAACGATCCTCTCTCCACAACGATCCCTCTCTCCAACGATCCTCTCACCTAACGATCCTCTCTCACACAACGATCCTCTCTACACACGATCCTCTCCCTCACACAACGATCCTCTCTCTCCACACAACGATCCTCTCTCACACAACGATCCTCTCCACACAACGTCCTCTCCACACAACGATCCTCTCTCACCAACGATCCTCTCTAACGATCCTCCTCTCCACACAACGATCCTCTCTTCACACAACGATCCTCTCTCACACAACGATCCTCTCTCTCACACAAATCCTCTCTCCCAACAATCCTCTCCCTCACAGAACGATCCTCTCTCACACAACGATCCTCTCTCACACACAACGACACACACATAAACTCTCTCCCTTACACCAACACACTCTTGCACTCCTTGGTGTCTGAATGTTAGCTGCACAGGTTTGGAATTTAAACCAGCTGAAAGACCGATAACCTGATTCTTCTTTCTTTGGTCACGGTGGTGGGAGTAATGCTTGACTAACTTGACTGACTCACGACTGACTCACCTAACCAGGCCCTTCGTAGGTAAGAAAAAACAAACTTTTCTAAAGGTCCACTCAAAACTGGGGCCTAACCGGACATATTCAGACGTCGCAAACTACCCATCACCTGAACCATACACCTGTCACTGTCTCACCTGCTTGCTCACCTTAGTATCGAGGTGATTGCCATCCTTGTAGGTAAACCAGACCTTGGAGTCGTTGGAATAGGTCAAGGTATAGGCTTTGACCCAATGTTTGCGTCTAGTATCCCCTCGACCCCTGGTGATGATTCCCGTCACTTGATGGGGTGGTCCTAGGTCCCACTGAAGCCACTGATGAGCTGGTGGTAGAGGGAGTAGAAGGAATGATTATTGTGTATATAGTCAACAACTAAAGTCCTTTCGCCTCTCCTCCTTGAACCACGAGAACGAGAGATTGAGACTGAATGAATTCGAAACATTTACGGTACAGAATAATGTATCAGTCTACTGCTTCGGGTTCATGAGTCTGAATCTCTCGGGGGTTCGTGGTTCAGGGAAGAGGTGAACGGACTTTAGTAGATGACTGTACAGAGGGGGGAGGGGAGATTATACAAAAAATCTATATACGTGGGTGGTTCATACATGAGGAGGGCGATGTAGATTTATACATAATGAATTGATGTTATGGTATACATGTGGCTCTATTATGTATATATGTAGGACTAGGATACATACATAGTAGGCTATAACCCTTTGAGGTAAATTATATTAGCTATAATTCTCAAAAGGACGACAATTGAAGCTTTAATGCCCTAAGGAGGTTTAGCCATCGTCCTCAAAGGGTACAAAATGTGTGTGTGTGTGTGTGTGTGTGAGAGAGAGAGAGAGAGAGAGAGAGAGAGAGAGAGGTTCCAGCATACGGGAGATGTGAGTGAGGCAGCGTCAGAGGTATGCTAATATATACACTGGACTCAGGAGAGAGATGTCGGGTATATACGTGACTGGTACAAGATATATATGTATGTAGTATATTATAGTGGCAGGGATATATTCAAGCTGTAACTATACACTATACAGTTTAACATTGTAGAGTACTAACTATACACTATACAGTTTAACATTGTATTAGGAAGAAATGCTGTTTGCTAAATTCGCCTGATATACAGGTACTGTTGCCTTGTCCTCATAACCAAAATATTTGGTTAAACTCTATAGCTCCAAGTCTGAGGTGTCGTGCTTATGTTTCCCGGACTGTTGCGGTGGACGGGCTCACTCCCAGACGGACGGAGAGCGTGGATTACTAAGAAAGTATAAGTGGCAGAGAGAGTGAGAGGTGAAGAGGCACTCACAGTCTTTCCTGCGGGCACACCAAGCTCTGTGGGAGTGTAGGGAGGCATCGCGTGGCTGACATGACTTGCTGCGGTGCCAGGGCTTAAAGGAGCTGGCTGACAGTTGCACGTCCGCACCCTCACTGATCACCGTCTTGCACTCTGTAACACAACACCACATCTCACTGTTACCAAGTCAGAAGTTATAATGACAGAGAAATACAAGTGAATTAATGTCCATCTTAACTCAATCTGGCTATACAGTTTCGTAAACACACACACACACACACACGTTTGTTGTTTTGCATTATAGTAAGTTTAGTAGAGTGTGATTGTCTTTTAACTTTATACCAATCACCTTTCTATCAATCAGTACCTGTGTTATTAATACATTATTACAATACTGGAAGACGGACATGAACGAAATAATTTAAGATAAACAAAACAAAAAACAAACCAGTGACAGAAATACAGGGAAAACAAGGTATTATAATTATGTCAATAAATAACAAAACAAATTATGTCTCCTGGCTACAGCGAGTGAGAACAAGTGGGCGACAAACATCACCTCCTGTCCACGCTTTAAAAGACAAGGCCCAAACAAGACACGATGTATGTAGTACCAATGAAAGTATACATTATTATTTTTAAAAACTTCTCGTGGAATACCTTTTAGATAACCCGGGTGGGCTAAGTCCCGTAAAAATAAGATGAGAGAGAGAGAGAGGGATGAGTCTATTCCACCTGCAAATCATTAAGGGTGGCACTATGATTTATCACAAGTGTAGTGGCCAGTGGTGACGAGTAAAGCGCGAGTAATTGGCGAGTAGTGGTAAAGTAGGGAAGAGTAGTGGTAGAGTAGGGGTGAGTGGTGGCGAGTTGAGGCGAATGGTGGCGAGTTGGGGCGAATGGTGGCGAGTAGGGGCGAATGGTGGCGAGTAGGGGCGAATGGTGGCGAGTAGGGGCGAATGGTGGCGAGTAGAGGTAAAGTAGTGACGAGTGAAACAAGTACAACAGTGTCCGTAGAGTTTGGTACACAGCTTTATTTTCACCCTATTACAATATGACCGACCAGAACCTATTATAGCACCCTATTATATTACGTATCCCCACCCCATTACAAACTATTCACATCCTATTACATCGTATGCCATTGTAACCTCACCCTATTAGAATATATCCTAATTCTATTAAGAGCCGTATTCGCCCTATTAAGATGTCTATTTACGCCCTTAAATTCTATTCTTATCCCATTAAGATACATATTTTCACACAATAGAATGCATCCTTACCCTATTACAATTATCCATTGGTCCTAATTTGTATACCCTTGTCCCATTTGAGCATACTCAGACCCCATTAAACAGATTTTACACCCATTACTATTTCTAATCGCAATTTAACTCATCTTAATCCCATTTTTAACCCAATTTCATTTTGTCAATGCAAAATAACTAAAGTGTAGCCGATTTTAAATGCTATTTTAACCGATATAGCCCAATTTCAATCTTACTTTATCCCCATTACAATTCATCTCACTCAATTTCCAAACAACAAATTGAACCCCAACATAACACGTTCCTCATCCATTCCGAACGTGTATAATCTCCTCTCATTAGCCAAGATAAGGCCCCGTCCACACTTTATTACATCTGCCTTCAACCACCTAAATGGGACGGCTATAATCTGAAACGTCGCCCAACGAAGTTTATTAACACTTTAAAAACAACAACAGGATACTTGAATTAATGAGATGATCGTATCTGGTGGGCAAAACAGTCTGGTATTTAGCCTTAAGTCAAAAAAAGTCTCTGCATTACTGAGTGGTGACTCGAGGTATCTGAAAGCATTATCAATAATTATTCAGTAAGGAATGTTACAAGAGTCAGCAAATAGTAAAGTAAATGTTGAATGACTGTATGAGAGACAGACACTTGGTGAATATAAATTTGGGACTTGTATTATGTTAAACTAATTTGCTAAGAGCCATTTGAAATAAAAACCTATTCAGTTGTATTTTTTTTTATCAATCTCTACCAAGTATCTTTGGGTAAATCTTTTAACACCTCTATCAGCCCTACATAACCTTACCTGGTCCTACACAGAACCTTACCTGGCCTTATAATGAACCTTACCTGGCCTTCTGCCTGTATCGCCTCTGATGGGATTAGTAAATAAAACAATCTTTCCATCTCTGTCCATCACTGCTATCGGAGTATGGATAGCCCGTGTCGACGCCCCTCTCTTCCTCACCATTATCAAACCTTTCGTGATCAATCATAAGCCTGTAACTTTTTTCCTCCGTTATCTTGAGAAGCGTAAAACATTAAACCCTTGACATAGTATAGGGAGGTTAGGTACTCCATTGTGATTACGTGGAGGGTTGTTAACAAAGCAGCCAGATCCTCCTAACCTAACCTAACCTAACCTAACCTAACCTAACCTAACCTAACCTAACCTAACCTAACCTACATATCAATACACATGTTATAAGGTTCAGGGAAAATTGACAAGACAAACATGAAGTATTGTAGACCTTTATTAATGACGAAGGACAGGTAAGTTGCCAAGAACAAGTTTGTGGTTCCAATGAGTGAGTTAGTAAATTGTGACGGGTTATTATTCTCCATTATCTCTGTCAAATTTTTTTAATGTGAGTGAGATGTTTTAAAGAGCCGAGAGATATACGTTGATTAATAAATGTGTGTGTGACCTCAGGATATATTAGTTATCTGGTGAGTGAGTTGGGGGTATTCCATCACATTTAGTAGACACAGCTGTACATGTTTTTGTTGTATTGGCTAACTAAGTTGTGGTTAAGTCTTCACGTGTAACGATATCTTCCTCAAAGGGTAACTTTATGAGGATGAGGTTTAAACCTTTGAGGACGATGATTTAAACCTTTGAGGACGATGATTTAAACCTTTGAGGACGATGATTTAAACCTTTGAGGACGATGATTTAAGCCTTTGAGGACGATGATTTAAACCTTTGAGGACGATGATTTAAACCTTTGAGGACGATGATTTAAACCTTTGAGGACGATGATTTAAACCTTTGAGGACGATGATTTAAACCCTTAAGGACGATGATTTAAACCTTTGAGGACGACAGTTTAAGCCTTTGACGACTACAGTTTAAACATTTTCAGGATGATGATTTAACCCTTCGGGACGGCAAGGGCTGAAAACAATAATGATAAGGTTTAACACCTGGGGCAGGGCTGATACTGGTCAATGGTTCAGTAATTCATGCCTTTACTCCACGTTGAATACGAAAAAAAAAATAAAAGAATAATGAGACCTACTTTTAATCAGGTTATTACGTATACCAGACAGGGGATTTTCAGACGATTTTTTTTTGGAGGGGGAGATGTGCTGTTTAGGAGGAAATAATTGATGTGGCATAATGATATATGATATTATTGGGACGTTTTGATTGAGTACTGAAGGTCTAAGGATGTAGTAAAGTAACTCACTGTCCCCTAGCCCAGTGTAATAACCTAACACACACACACCTTCTCTCAGATAAATTAGATACCGTGTTTACATATCAGAAGATACGGGTGTAGTGATCACTTACCTGTAATATTAGGTTGGTGTAATCCTTCCCTCTGGTGGGGGGGGGTCAGAGGGGGGGTGGTTGGCAGGTTAGGTTAGGTTACTGTGGGTTAGCGTTAGGTTAGATTAAGTTATCGTGAGGTGAAGTTAGGTTAGGTTACTGTGGGTTAGCGTTAGGTTAGATTAAGTTATCGTGAGGTGAAGTTAGGTTAGGTTACTGTGGGTTAGCGTTAGGTTAGATTAAGTTATCGTGAGGTGAAGTTAGGTTAGGTTACTGTGGGTTAGCGTTAGGTTAGATACAAACTAGATGTGGTTGGTCTCATTTCAGCAAAAAATTGAGATAAGAATCTTCCTAGGGAGGGAGTCCTGTTGGCCCCCACCTACCACCTAGAGATGGAGGTGGACCTTGAGTCTTTTATCTCATACTCCTGATACTGGTTCACTATATCACGCCCTCCATCACTGTCTCTCTCTCTCTCTCTCTCTCATGAAGGCAGCCACACGATATACTCAACTGCCACGATATAGAATTACTCATTTTTTTCAACTTAATGATTTTGTGATTACTTATATAAGACCATAACTTTCTCCTCCCTTCCCCCTTTACCCCCTCCCCCTTCAGTCCCTCTCCTACCTTCCCCCTCCTAACCCCTCTCTATTACTGAGTTCACCTGTGCTAAAATGGTGTTACCTACGAGAGAGAGAGAGAGAGAGAGAGAGAGAGAGAGAAAGAGAGAGACAGAGAGAGAGAGATGAATCAAGGCTGTTGAGGTGGTAAGATGATCAGTGTAGGTCAACTTCATCCATACCGCAGGATGCCTCACTCAGCAGGAAGAAGAGGAAGAAGAAGAAGAAGAAGAAGAAGAAGAAGGCAAAGGAGTAGGAGGAAGAGTAGGATAAGGAGTAAGAAGAAGAAGCAGAAGAAGAAGAAGCGGAAGAAGAAAAGGAGAAGGAAGAGGAAGAGGAGGAAAAAGTGTGACTAAAACAGACCAAGAATACTAATATGATGACTAATTACGTATGAGAGAGAGAGAGAGAGAGAGACTTAATCTTGCTATTAATACCTCTCTCTCTCTCTCTCCCTCGATATCCCTCACGCTAGGTAACAATATTCTCACTTAACACATAACTATGGTTGAAACTATATTAACTTGAAATACCTTTACCATAAACTAACTTGTTGTACGATAAAACATGAGGTTAAGATATCACGAAATTTAGTCTTTTTTTCAATGGCATGGTAAGGTGAAACCGAACAAAGGCGACGGATGACCTTAATGATTCCGTAACATAACAACTTAATAACACTAATTACACAGGGATAGTTATAATTGGAATTCCTCGGAGTGACGGTTAAAGTCTGAGATGAATCCTGACAACGTTAGCAAAGGATAGAGACTTATGATTAGGTTACAACAATGATAAGCCCTTCACAATACCCAATAGACAGGTCAATGACCCACACCAGGGCCTGGGGGGCGAAAATGTAATAATAATAATAATAATAATAACAATAATAATAATAATAATAATAATAATAATAATAATAATAATAATAATAATAATAATAATAATAATAATAATAATAATAATAATAATAAT